AAATGATTTGAAAATCGAGAAAACCTACGTTAGATTTAAATCATTTTATCACCATAAAAATTTATATAAAAATGACGTCTGATCAACAAAATGGAAAATCTCCATTTTTGCCAAGACCGCCGATGGATAACGAGGAAAACAGAAACAACACCAACAAGTTTAGGAGAACAAAGATTAATTCTCTCTGTTCCTTCAATTTCAATCGGTTCCATTATTGTGTTCTGTTATGTTGGCTATTTGGAATTTTCTTCGCAACTCAAATGATTTTTTCCGTATTTTCAAATTATATACCAAAATGGAAATGTTTATTAAATAATGCTTCCAATTTTGCTAGAAATTGTACAATATATCAACAATGTCCAGAAAATTTGATACAATTCGAAGAGAATATACCCTTTCATTCAGCGGCAATGGAATTTGGTTGGATTTGTGGATCTAATGCATATAATCGAGCTTTATTCAGGTAAATTGTTTTTTGATTAAAAGCTAAATGACAATTTTATTTTCAAAGAGAAATTATTAAATTATACAAATTATTAACTCATACCCTATGCATGAGTTAATTGACATTGAGCTTAACGGCATTGATCAATTAAAAAAAGATATCTTTAAAATCTTAAATAACGCCCAGGAGAGCTTCCCCAAGAATGAAAAGCCACATTTGACTTTGCACTCTATGAGCCTGTTAGGTCCGGGGTCTAAATTCTTTTTAACTTTTATTTTAATTCTCCGAATATTGTATATTCGGGTTTCAAATTCTTAATTTTTAAACACTTTTATTTTAAGGTTTATTTAAAACAAGTTTATTTAAAACACAAATAAATATTTTAAAGTTACGTTCAAAAGAAGGTAAAATTGTGGGGAAATAGATGAGTATTTATATGGGGAAAGAGAAAAATATTTTTTGATAGATTCACACAAAATTCACGTGAATTTCATTTTGTTGGTTATAGAAACGCGGAGAAACGCGGGCAAACAAAAAGAGGGAAGAAAAAACCTTGAGCTTTGAGAAGTTTAAAGGAGTATTTAATGCGTACCTGTACGTAAAGTGCAGCTTTTTTCAAAAATATTTATAGGGGAATTAATCTATAGAAAATTGTTCACGGTTTTGTTTTAAAATTCTGTTTGTAAACAGATTGTGATTAAATAATTTAAATATAAACAGAAAAAGATACAATTTTTTGAAACGTTGGAAAAAATTATTTTGTTAAAATGCGGTAATTTAAAATGGTTAAAAAAGTTTTTGAGTAAAATTTGCCAAAATCTAAATTGATGAGGATGTACTGTAACTCGATCCTAACAATATAAAAAATAAATTCCCAATTCCAATATGCTCCCTGCTGTATCCACAATACGTCTTTGGAAAAATGTCGGGATTTAGGAGGAATGTCCCGATATATTAGATTTTGTCGATTTTGAGAATCGGGAATTCCTGATTAAGAATCTTCGCAAATTCCCGATTTTTGGGAATTCCTTCGAGAATCATGAACCTGACGGCATTATCCTTGATATAATAGGCTTGCTTAAACTAATAAGAGGAACTAATCATTTAGAAATTTAAAAATATGCCCTTTTAATTAAACAAAAATATTAATTATTTACAGATTAAATAAATAAATCGCAAAACCGGAAATATCCCTTCTGTCAAGTCTATTTCTCAAAACAAATAATTAAACGGAAGTAAAAGTTAAATAAAAATGGATTTTGACGGAAATGAGGAAAAAATGAAGAAAGTAGGGGTGGGCTGTTTAGAAATAATTTAAAGTTCAGACACATCAGGGATACATATTTATACATCAAAGATCCTGTTCCGACATAAAAATAAATTTCAATTTTCGGTAAGTTCGGGAATTTTGTTTGTTTATGGGGGGGGGTCTATAATGGACAAAGGATTAGAAGTTATTAAACTCGTATTTGTGAATTAAAATCATTATCGAGGAAGTTGGATGGGAGGGGGTTATTAAGATAGATATTGAAAGAGGATTCTGAAGAGATTTCGAGAGATTTGCGAGGATTAATACAATTAGCTTTAATCTTGACTCAAGGCATTTTAGATTTTTTGGGATAAAGAATGATTGTAAAAATAAGTATGAAAAACAAAGATCATCTAATTTTTAGAAGCCAGAAATTTTAAATTATTAATCTAGGATAAAATGGGTATAATTTCAAAAAATTGAAAACTTGACAACAAAATTTTAATATTGAAAACAAAAATATTTACTGATAAATAAAAGTTTTTTTTGTTTTCCCAATACTTGCCCTTTTAAATTTAATTTGTTGTTTATTTTAGTTTGTGAAATGCTGCAAACACTCAAAAATTTGGAAAAGAGTGAAATAGTAAAAGGCTGAATAAACGCGCATAAAATGGGGAAAAATAATATTTTCAGCTGAAAATATGAGAAATTCACGTGAAAATAAATTTATGTAAATATTATAAAAGAAAAGAATAATTTTGTTTTAATAAACAAAATTATGTTTATAAAACTCTAAGTTAGAATTCAGAACGAGTCGGACTCTACAAATCGGGATTTCGGGCTTGGAAGACAAAAAATCGGGTATTTTGGTAATATTCGGTTGTTATTCGGCCCAGACAGATTCTATCTTTCATCTAGTGCAAGATGTTAAAGCGAGGAATAACTCAATTTAAACCAAAAAGGAGTTATTTAAAATTTTTTTTAAATTAACTCTTCTCAATAACATTTATAAATAAATACCTATTTACAAGTTTACTGACAAGTTTTAGCTAGAAAAAAATGAGAAAATAATATTATGAAGAACAGGATTATTCATTTATTTTTAAATGAATTTCACGTGTATTTTTGTGCTTTTCATATGAATTTATTTTTAAAAATTGTATTTTTGTAGTAATAAAATGGTAAACAGATTTTTAAAAATGGAAAAAAATAATAAAAATATTTTTCCAGTCAAAACAATAAACATGTTTTCAAGAGTTACAAAATACTAAATAAAATTTTGTAAATTTTATTTGAGTATTATTGCAGGAATATATATTTGGAATTTTAAAATTTTGTAATTAAGTATTTTCGAATAAATTATCAATTTAAATTTCATAAATTAAATACATGCTCTTGACGATACTAGAAAATTTTTCAGATCAACATATTATTCTTATGTTTGTTCTCGTAACTTTGTTTGAAACGTAATTAGAGCAAAAATAATGCCACAAAAAATGCGTCAAAGAGTAGCACAAATGTCAAATTGAAGAAAAATAACAAAAGTGTACACAAGCACAATAATAGCACACTTTTTAGAATTGAACTTTAAAAATTTTCGACTATGGTCTGGAAATTCTTCGAGTATGAACACTGTCGAAGTTTATAGTCTTATCACTCTTTTATATTATATTGGCGCTTTCAACTGCAAGATGTAACTAATTCAATACAATTTATTTTACATGATTAAAATTAAACTTTAAACTATTTATTAATCACTAGTCGCTGTCCTTAACAGCTGTTTGAAAGTTTAAGTTTCTATTGTTGTACCTTTAGGTACCCCCACAACGATTTGTAGTGATTTATGCTTTTAATTCATTTTAAATTTTAATGAGGAAATGAATTAAAAATTTATAATGATAAAATTAAGCTGTTCTTTATTGATATTAAAAGAAATTTCCAAACATTGATTTTATACCAAATTTCTCTTATCTAATTTTTTAGAGGTTTAAAATTAAAAATCGTATTATTTTTTATCATTTTATTTAAGTAAAATGGAATAAAAAATTTGTCATTTTATTTTTTAACTCAAGTATCATTCAATTGGCAATAAGAAATTTAGAGAGGCTATCGGACCCTTGAATTAAATAAGAACCCTGAGCAGCACATTTACAAATGATTTGAAAATCGAGAAAACCTACGTTAGATTTAAATCATTTTATCACCATAAAAATTTATATAAAAATGACGTCTGATCAACAAAATGGAAAATCTCCATTTTTGCCAAGACCGCCGATGGATAACGAGGAAAACAGAAACAACACCAACAAGTTTAGGAGAACAAAGATTAATTCTCTCTGTTCCTTCAATTTCAATCGGTTCCATTATTGTGTTCTGTTATGTTGGCTATTTGGAATTTTCTTCGCAACTCAAATGATTTTTTCCGTATTTTCAAATTATATACCAAAATGGAAATGTTTATTAAATAATGCTTCCAATTTTGCTAGAAATTGTACAATATATCAACAATGTCCAGAAAATTTGATACAATTCGAAGAGAATATACCCTTTCATTCAGCGGCAATGGAATTTGGTTGGATTTGTGGATCTAATGCATATAATCGAGCTTTATTCAGGTAAATTGTTTTTTGATTAAAAGCTAAATGACAATTTTATTTTCAAAGAGAAATTATTAAATTATACAAATTATTAACTCATACCCTATGCATGAGTTAATTGACATTGAGCTTAACGGCATTGATCAATTAAAAAAAGATATCTTTAAAATCTTAAATAACGCCCAGGAGAGCTTCCCCAAGAATGAAAAGCCACATTTGACTTTGCACTCTATGAGCCTGTTAGGTCCGGGGTCTAAATTCTTTTTAACTTTTATTTTAATTCTCCGAATATTGTATATTCGGGTTTCCAATTCTTAATTTTTAAACACTTTTATTTTAAGGTTTATTTAAAACAAGTTTATTTAAAACACAAATAAATATTTTAAAGTTACGTTCAAAAGAAGGTAAAATTGTGGGGAAATAGATGAGTATTTATATGGGGAAAAAGGGCGGAAAACAAATATATATGAGTGAATGTTTAAGTTTAAATTCTTAATGATAAGGAGCGGTTTTAGGTTGATGAGACAAAGAAGGGGAATGCAAAGTATATAAAATAAGCCAAGAGGGAAAATAATATTTAAATACATAAAGGAGATTAAATTTAAAGATGGGAAAAGGTTATTGAGTAAATAAAAAGGGAAATTACAATTATTCAAAAAATTCAAATAATTCTTCAAAACCAATACATAACACTCCTCCCTTCCTCAATTTAGTATCCACGACGATAGTAGTCACGACGATGTCCATTACCATTACTTCCACCTCCATATCCGCCACGGCTATGACGATATGGGCTGAAACGTTCATTTGCTCTCTCACGCTCTAATTGGCGCAAGAGGAAAAACAATCGAGCATCTATGGCACTACGGCCGCCTCGCGGTCGCCCGCGGTCATTTCCACGTCCTCTCGCCTCACGGCGGTTTTGTGGCCCATCTCTCGCATCAATACGGTTATTTTGTTGATTTTCTATAAGAACTTGTTGTTGAGCATTTTGTTGTTGTTCCTCATTAATTATAGGCTCTCCAACAACTTCCTCCTCTTCCGGACCCATAACAGAAACAGAATCAGAGGAAGCCTCGCTTTCCGCGGATAAAGTTTGAACTGCATTTTTTAATTCTAAAATGGAGTTCTCAATCTCCATAAAACGTGGATTTACTTGTTGTAAAATTTCTTTTACTACTTCTTTTGATTGATCTACAATAGCTTCACGAATAAAATCGTGAGTTTTTTTAATAACTTCTTTAATTTGCTCGTTCTCTTTTTGAACAAGTTCAAAAAGGTTGTTGCTCTTCTTTTTGTTGTTGTTAGTGGAGGTTGTTGTTGTTTTTTGTCCACCATCTCCTCCTTCTCCAATAATTGTGTCGTTTCCCAAAATCTGATCAATCTCCATTGTTGTCATTATTTGAATATTTGAAGCAGAAAAAATTAAATAAATTAATTTAAATTTTTGAATTAACTATAAAAATTACAAAACAAATGGTAAATAAATTTAAAAAACAAAAGGGGGTTGATAAAAGGGATATATGTGTAGGGATGGGGGGGGGGGAGGGGGTACATGTTAAATATTAATTTAAAATATGAATTTTATGTACAAAAAAAATTTTTTTTTCTACCCTAGAAGGGCGGCGAATTTCTGAGTCCGCTTTTCCGGACTCGTATTTGGTCTGTATGAGCTGTTTTTTCAGAGCCATCCTCAAGCTCGACTTTATATACGTTCTCTCCTAATCGTTCTTTAATTATTCCCGCCTCCCATTTTGTCTTTTCTCCATAATTCCTAACCCAAATTAATTCATTAATTTCAAATATTTTTTGTTTTGGGGGACTTTTCTGCTTGTTCTCCTCACAATCATTTAAAAGAGGGTTTAATTTTGATGACTGAACTTTTATTAAGTCGAGCGGTGTTTTAATCTCTCGTTTAAGAAAAAGCTTTGCCGGAGATTCCCCATTAAGGGAGTTGTGCGGTGATGCTCTATATTCAAGCAAAATAGTTTCTCGGGCAATTTTAAAGGGATTGAACTGTCTAGCATTTTCTTTATGCCGTTTTTAAATGTTTGAATAAACCTTTCTACTAAACCATTACTTGGAGGATGGTAGGCAGGAGATCTTAGATGTTTGATTCCATATTCTTCCAAAAAGGAGTCAAATTCAAACGAAACTAGTTGTCTCCCATTATCACTAACAAGGGTATTCGGCGGTCCAAATGTTGCAAATATTCCTCTCAATTTTTTAATAACCGCGGCCGAATTTGTATTTTTAATTTCAAAAACCCATGGAAATCTTGAATACGAATCTATAACAACTAGAAAATTTTTCCCTAGAAATGGGCCTGCTAAGTCTATATGAATTCGTTCAAAACATGTTTTTGATTCAGGCCATTCATAATATTTACTTAATTTAGGCTCCTCAGGCGCATATTTTTGACATACCTGGCACAATTTTACAAAATCTTCAATATCTCTATTAATATTAGGCCACCAAACATATTTTCGTGCTTTACTTTTACACCTTACTATCCCATAATGACCATTATGTATTAAATTTAAAATAATGATTTTTAATTTTTCAGGTATAATTATTTGAGATTCTGAATCTTTTTTAATTAATTTTCCGTCAACAGATAATTGGTCTCTTATTTGGTAATAAGGTGCAGTTTCTTCATTTAATTCAAAATTATACCAATTTTCTTTTATAGCTCTATGTATTTTTATTAAAATTTTTATCTTTTTCCGTCTCATTTTCAATAATTTCTCTATTTATTTTTTCAGTTGTTGACGCCATTAAATATGGGGGTTCCTCTTTAGGCATAGTGTTTTTTATCGAATTCCAACTAACGGAAATTCGTGATAAAGCATCAGCTACTCTATTGGCGGTGCCTTCTACGTAAACAACTTCGGGTTCTATCTCTTGTAGGGCCATAAGCCATCTATTTATTTTTGTATTAGTACTAGCCTTAGAAAATAAATAAGTTATTGGTCGGTGGTCTGTATATATTCTTAGTTTGGATCCATAAATTATGGCCTTAAAATGAGTAACTGCATTATAAATAGCAGCTAATTCTCCGTGGGTTGCGGGTAATTTAGTTTCTGGTTCACTTAATGTTCTCGACCAGTAACAAACAGCGTGTAAATTTATATCATCCTCACTTTGCATTAAAGCGGCTCCATACGCTACATTAGAAGCGTCACAAAATAGATGAAACGGTTTTTCAAAATTAGGTGGCTGTAAACAAGGAGATTGTGTTAATTTTTCTTTTAATTCATTAAAAACAAATTTTTCTTTTGCACTCCAAATAAAAGTTGGGTTTGGTCCTCTGGTTAGTTTATTTAAAGGATTGGCTAATTCTGCAAAATTTGGGATAAATTTGCGAAAAAATGAAGCCATCCCTAGAAATCGTTTTACTTCTTTTATATCTTTCGGTTCTGGGAATTTATTTATTACTTCACAATTACTTCGTGCAGGCTGATATCCATTTTTATTTAATTCAAGCCCCAAATAAGTACATTTGTTTTGTAAAAATTCACATTTTTCACCCTTAAGTTTAAATCCGTTTTTGTTCATTCTATCAAATACAATCTCCAATGTTTTCATATGGGACTCAAAATCATTTGTATGTATTAGAATATCATCTATATAAGCTGTAACGTTATGTATACCTTTCAAAATTTTATCCATTACCCTCTGAAATATACTTGGCGCATTTTTCAGGCCGAAAGGTAAACGTTTCATTCCATATAAACCCCATTCTGTAATCAATCCACATCTATGCGAGCTTTCTCGGTCTAATGGGATTTGCCAAAATCCTGAGGCCAAGTCTAATCTACTATACCAACATTTTCCAGCAACCTTATTTATTACAATATCCATCCTAGGTAATGGGTATGGGTCCGTTATAGTAACCTTATTTAATGGTCTAAAATCTACACAAGGGCGTAATTTTCCGTCACTTTTCTGAACGAGGACCAAATTACTAACCCATGGTGTGTTACTCTCCTCGATAATTCCAGTCTCCAACATTCTCTGTATTTGAGCTTTAAGCTCAGATCTGTATTTTTCAGGCGTTCTAAAAGCTCTCGATTGAATCGGTATTTCAGTATTTGTTAAAATAGTTGGGGCAGTTATTTTACACTTACCTAGATCAAAATCGTCCTTCGCAAAATTCTCCTCATTTTTTAAAATAAATTCGGCAAATTCTTGTTTATCTTGAGGGTCTATTAATTCTATTTTTGAAATTATTCCTCTAATTTGTGCAGAAAAGGGGGATCGATTATCTTTTTCTTGGAGAAACACTTCAGGTTTATAAAGATTTATTAATTCTCCAGTTCTAAAATTTAGGGCAAACGGGAGCTTTTTTAACGTTTTTCTTCCAATTATTCCACTATAAGATCCATTTTTATTTACTTCATCTTTAACTACAGTTACTTTTGTTTGGATTTCAATATTTGCTATTTTTATCTTTATTTTAGCTTGACCTAATGCTGGAATTATATTGTTGCCAATTCCAATAACACCGGAGAAATCTGGTTGATAAAGGTCAGTTATTTTTAATCTTTTTGCGGTTTTCTGCCCAATTAATGTAACATGAGCGCCAGTATCCAAAAGACAGATTAATTTTATTCCGTTAATTTCTACTAATATACGCATATTTTCATCACATTCAAAACCAGCAATCATAATCTCCGCATTATTACTTTCGGCAACTTTTTGTTTTTCTTCCTCAAAGTGCTGGGAAGGCCATCTTTGTGAAATGGGCAGGGTTTTATCATATTTACCTGGTCTGCTCTTAAATTCATTAAGGGTTATTTCTTCATTTTGTTCTTCCCTTTTAGTTCTGTTTCTTTTAGAAATATATTGAAAAATCCTTTCTCCTACATTCAAATATCCAATAGTTTGTGCTAATATGGCTGGGAGTATAAATTGGACCAAAAATTGTAGGGTTACATAACAACAACAGATAAATACCCATACTTGGTTTATTGAAAAAATTCCTCCAGTTAAGAACGCAAACAGTCCTTTTGCAACGATATTTGCTGCGAATGCTTCTGTTCTTGAGCTAGGGTTTTGCCACAACGATCCTTTACTGGTTAATCGGGTAATTTCGTGAGTTATAGCAGCTGTCTCAATTGTCTCCGAAAAGTGTTCGGGAGAATAAATTTCAGTAAGATTAGTTAAAATCTTATTTTTAAAGATAGTAATTCCCATGTCTGGTAGATCGATCTTTCCAAAACGTGCTATTTTTCTAATACCCTCTTCAGAAATCTCTCTCTGATCTCCAGTTGATTGATCATAAAGGATCGTTCTGCCTTTTAAAGTAACATACATATATTTATTTATATCACAATCAGATTCTCCTGCACTCGAATGAATTATTAGGGTTTTAGTATCCAAAAATCCATGCTTTTCATGCCCATGTAAATTAAAGGAAACAGGGAGTCTATCGAAACAAAAGCCTTGTCTCCAGTTAAAATGTATCTCCTGATCTTGTATTGGGTAACAGGGTCTAATTTCCATAATTTTTTCTGTCACTAGCCTCGCTGTTATATAATCAATTTTTAAAAAGTATCTCGCTAACAAAGTAGGATTAGCGGCTGCCAAAGCGAGAGTTTGATCAGCTACTGCCTGTAATGTATTACAGATTTGGCGTACTGACTCTGCGAACAATTTTTGCGTTGTTCGCGTAAGTTTGGTACTTAAAGCGGTTAGCTGAGACTCTAGTTGCGGTGTATAAACTACTCCTGTTAATTTTGCTATGTCTGATTCATTTAATTTACTGTTAACCGCTTCCCTTTTATGGCGGGAGTTTTCGCTTCTATTAATTAAATTTAAAACAATTTCATACTCATACTTTGAGATGGCATACCCTTGGTCAGTAATTATCATTTCTTTTTGACCACAATCAATCTTTTTAGTAATATTTTCAAAAGTTAATGCGAACTCATTAAATTCGGATATCCAAATTCTCGAAGCGAATTCTCCACGCCAATTGGCTATGGGTATAAAAGCGCACTGTTGAGTTTTATCTGGCTTCCATAATAGGCTTCCCTGGCTACATTTACATGTTCCCGATTTATAATTACACTCTGGGCAGCTCCCAATTGTTTCATATACATAACAGTTTATTACTTCCTTAGTTGACCAAGCTATCCCAAGTGGCCAAATATTCCAGCCTACCTCTAAACTATTGTTTGTAGCCCTTAAATTGCCATTTTTCTCGAATAATTTTCCGGCTTGCGAATTATTGGTCTCTTTCATTTTAGTACATAAGGAGATAGGAACATTTATATTTTCAGTCTCTATTTCTTCATTTTGGGATCCAAAAATACCTAATCTCCTAGAAATTTTACTTTTAATGCATTTACAAACAGTGGCCGGTGTTTTATATTCCAATGTATTAGCTCTGTAAACATATAAATTTAATGGTACAGGCGATCAGAGGGCTGCCAGGATGGACAAATAGGATCTTTCGGGAACTTCCATAATGAAGTAGGTGAATTATTTAGACAAATCATAGGGCTTTGAGCAGTAGCACCACAGAACACAGATAAAAGAGCAATAAGCATAAATAAAATCGGGCTTACAGCTTTAATACCAGGGCTTGATCTGCGTTCAAAACGAACGCGTGAAGTTGAACCTCTCTCCGAGGACCGACTATTTTCTCTCGAGTTACAATTTCCTCGGCGATTTTGATAATTACCGTAATTCCTGAAATTATTTTGACTTGATGTTTGCCTATTATTATATTGTCTATAATTATTTCCCTCCCGTCTATTTGAATATCTACTATTATTTTGATGTCCACTATTATAATTGGGTCTTGCATTATTGTCATACCTTGGTCTATTTTCAAAGTTTCGAGGACCATAATTTACTCTCGTATCGTAATTGCTGTTTCTATTCCCATTAATATTTCTTGGGTTTTCTGTACAATAACGCGCAATATGACCTGATTTTCTACAACTGTAACAAGTAACAATGTCGGGTCTATTTTTAGAAACTATAAGTGCGTCAACTTTCTCTGCTAGTTCAGACATTGAAATGTTTATAGCAGGCTTTCTGGCAGACAGTAATAATTCGAAATGCTGTGCCAATTCATACGCTCCTACATAGTCTGTGGGTCTCTGCGATTTTACCTGGAATTGTAGTTCGGGGACTAATCTATCTAAAAATTCTTCTAAGAGACGCTTTTTAATACTTTCCTCGGAATCTCCACTAAGGGCAGTTCTAACTGCTTCGTTTAGTCGATTAGAGAAATCGAACACTGGCTCTCCAGGTGCTTGTTTACAAATCGATAAAGTTTGCCTCGCAATAATTTTAGTATTTCCGTTTTCAAATCTATTCTTTAAAAATACAATCGTGTCTTCCAATCTAGTCGGAGCAGGGTTTATTGAATCATATACAGCCCTAGCTTGACCGTTTAAACAAAATCTTAAGCGGGCCAATTTTTGTTCTTCCGTAAGCGGAGTGGTTATTAAGCTCAGGATATCCTTAAATTTTTCTATCCATTTAGAAAAAGAAATGGATGGATTCCCGTCATATCCCGAAATGAAACTCCCTCCATTAAGAAATGGGTCCCCCATTTTAATTTCTGCCCCTAAAGTAAGATCTAAATCAACCTCCTCATTTATTTCAGTTTCATCCTCAGATTCGTCTTGGTTTACAGCTAAATTTAAATTTCCCTTAAAATTATTTTCCATATTTTTTAAAGCATTTCTTAATTTTGTGATGGAACCTTTAGTTCCTGACAAACTATTTTTATTGGTTTTAACGTTTTCCTCAATCTGGTCAACTCTCTTTTCAAGGGTACGAAACGAATGCGCAACCGTCTTTTCGAATGCTCTCAAACGAGTTAAAATCGTTTGGAAATTGTTTAGCTCGGTAGCGTTGAAAAATTTAGGATCAAAATCTGATCCAGCCATTTAAACAATAAAAATGTAAAAACCACAAATCAAAAATTTTATTAAAAAACAATTTAAAATTACTCAAAAATTTCCAATACTTCGTCCGTAGACGGTTCAAATTTTACTTCGGTTTGCCCGCACACAGCTCAGGACACCGGTTATTTATTTTTCAAGGGTTTGCCCGCACACAGCTCAGGACACCCAAATTTTATTTTTCAAAGGATCGCCCGCACACAGCACAGGACGCCTGATTAAACGCTTTTTTTAAATAGGGCTCGCCCGCACACAGCTCAGGACGCCCGAAAAATTATTTTATTAAAATACTCTAGAGGGGTCCGCACACAGCTCAGAACTCCCTTTTTTTCAAAAAAATGATCCGCACACAGCACAGATCAAAAACAAATGAAAATTTGAGTTTGGCTTTAGAAGCTCAAACTATAAAAAAAAATTTTTAAAAAAATCCTCCACAACTATGTGTGGGGTAGGAAGAAGGCAATCTAATGGCCAGTTAGTCGCTTTCAGTGTTAGGTCCGGGGTCTAAATTCTTTTTAACTTTTATTTTAATTCTCCGAATATTGTATATTCGGGTTTCCAATTCTTAATTTTTAAACACTTTTATTTTAAGGTTTATTTAAAACAAGTTTATTTAAAACACAAATAAATATTTTAAAGTTACGTTCAAAAGAAGGTAAAATTGTGGGGAAATAGATGAGTATTTATATGGGGAAAAAGGGCGGAAAACAAATATATATGAGTGAATGTTTAAGTTTAAATTCTTAATGATAAGGAGCGGTTTTAGGTTGATGAGACAAAGAAGGGGAATGCAAAGTATATAAAATAAGCCAAGAGGGAAAATAATATTTAAATACATAAAGGAGATTAAATTTAAAGATGGGAAAAGGTTATTGAGTAAATAAAAAGGGAAATTACAATTATTCAAAAAATTCAAATAATTCTTCAAAACCAATACATAACAGAGCCGAATCCAACAAGCATAAGAACTGTTTGTTAAATTTGTTTAACAAATATATTTATCAATAAAATTCGTTGGATAGTGAGGACCTGTCAATATTTTGATTGAAAATCAAAGGCTGATTCTGATCATTATAAATATTTTGCCGGGTTTCTCTCGCCTTTAATGAGGCGTTCGAAATGGTCATAAATAAATATTTCCTTATTTCCTATATTATAGTCAAATTCAATTTGCTGGCGTGCTTATTGGCACTTTAACTTTTGGAGCAATATCTGATGCATTTGGGCGTAAACCAGTTTCTATTTTTGCATTAACTGTTGGGATTGCCTCAATGTTTGCTACTGGTAATAATTTTTGATTTTTAAAAATTTTTTCTAAAGCATTTGCACCAAATTGGCATTTCTTATTAGCTTGTCGTTTTATTCTTGGCCTCTGTATTGGAGGAGATTTGGTTGTTGTATATACTTTTGTGATGGAACAATTGTTACCAACTCAAAGGATGGCTATTAGAGGATTTTTTAATTGGGTACTTTTAATTTTTGTGGAGAGAAGAGAGGATGGGGGGGGGGGATTATGAAGTAGGAGAGAGATAAAAGCTTGAAACAGAGAGTAACTTCTGGCTTCTATTGTAAGATGCTTTAGTGGGTTGAGAACACCTCGGTTTCGTGTCTTCAGTACCGGTTTCCTGTCGAAATTATGGGCAGCTTTCGGTCATTGCTTCGGATCAGTTAAAGGATTAAGTAAGAAAAATCGTCGGGTTGAGCTTGGCTTTCACTTTCTCTTAAATTGATCTTAAACTCCAACCTAGTAGGCTTCTTAAATGCTCGCCACCTAGATTTCACTTCGTCACTATTCTTAAAATATCTTGATTTCAAGGGAGTTGCTCGCCTAATATTTACTTTGATTTGTATGTTCTTTCCTGATTGGCGTTCTTCAAGTATTGCTTGTGCTATATTTTCAATGCCTGCATTAATTATCATAATATTTTTAATGCCTGAAAGTCCTACATGGCTTGTATATTTTTAGATATTCTTCAAAATTTTAAAAAATATTTTAAAGCATAGTAAGGGCCGTCTTGAACAAATGCGAATAAATGAAAGAAAAATTGCTCGGTTAGCAGGTTTTCCACCGTCAATTAAATTACCTGAACATGAAAAATTATCACCATCAGAAAATTCTTTTTGGAATTTAATCAAAGATAAAACTCTTTTGAGACGAGTTTCGGTTCTTTGGGTTATGTGGCAAGTGAAAAAGATTATCTGAGTATTTTCTAAAAAATTTTTTAGGTTCACAGCAGCAATTTCCGGATATTCTATAGATTTGAATAGTTCAAATATTAGTGGTGATCTTTTTCTTAATCAAGTAATCTTTTCTTTTTGAAAATTTAATTTAGTAAGTAAAACTTATTTTTAAAAGTTTAATTGTCTTTAGGGTGGTTTTTGATTTGAACCCAAACTATCATAAATTCTCGGTCTTTCGATTCGGTTACGAATATCAGGCATTTTAAAAAAACGACAATCCTAATATAATACATTATTGTCTTGAATAGTTTGTTGGTGGCCGGTCATTAAACGGTCCCCGATTTTTGGTTATAGACATTTAGACCAGGGTTTCGGTTAATATGCCAAATGCTATTTTTCGGCTAGGGGCAGCTATAAACCATAGTCGTGGATTTGAAAACTTATCTAGAGTTAATTCACACATCAATTCTAGAAGAAGCAATCTTCTGAAGTGGCAGTTTGATTTCTTAAAACATTTATTATTTTTAAGGGCCTTAGGCTTATAATAATAATTTTTCAATTTTTAAAGAGCCTTCTTTCGTCGATATGTGCAATCTCTAAAATATGCCTTGTTATAGTTGATACAGTATTTCCAAAATTTTCTCGGCGTAATCTCCATCAAGGAGCACAACTTGTAGTAATTATATCTGCATCGCTTCTAGTCTTCTTCGTTTTTTATGATCATGATGGGATTGGAATTCTTTTGGCTAATTTAATTGGAATAACATTCATTGAATTAACTTGGTTTTATTTTATTTCCATAGTAACGTTCTTCAACCAACTCTAGTTATGGAACTGTCATTATCCATAGATGACGGCCCAGGGTCAAAATTGAATGTCTTTTTCTGACGAAACTCGAAGGGAAGACCGCAGGATCCTTTTAAGCTCGCAGATTTTCACTAAGTTATGGTCTCAGTAAAATTTTCACAAATTAAATAGCAAGTTTGGTTTACGGTTCGGAGAACATATGATTCTTCGGTTCGTCCGGATATCCGAAGATTTTCCCAGAACCGATAACTAATCCTAGTGGCAAGAATTTAAAAATGTACTTATTATTTTTATAGGGATGCCTGCTATCTCTGGTTCGCTTTTTAACAAATAAATTAAGACAATCTTACTAATTTTTAGCGCCGTAGAATCGGTGCCAACATCATTGAGGTTTTTAATAATTTTATTGCTCAAATGAAATAATCCCTTAACACTAGAGCCTCATCAGTTGGTTCATGTTCATTAATAGCTCGTATTGGTACCTTAATTGCCCCAGTGGTCTTTAAAATTTTCAAAATTTTTTCCCTAATTTTATCATTTTAGTTAGTATTTTTAAACACTCGTTGGCCTGCAAGTGTTTATTTAATTATTGTCCTAATTGGTTCAATAAATTTGTTAATTTCCTGGTTATTTTTAATTGAAACAAAGGGAATTAATTTGGATTCTGTACATTTGCATGAAGACAATAAACAATACGAATTTATAAGGAACGAAGAAATGAAAAGTCTAAAAATTGAAGTAATTAAAAGATAAATTTTGTTAGAGCTTTGTAAATTTTATGATTTTTTTTGAAATTTTCGAGCCCTTTCTGGTAATATTTTGCTTCGTACTACGCATTTTTCCTTTACTTTTTTTATTCCACTAGAAGGTGGGAATTAAGTGCTTTTTTGATATTTTTGAGATTTGCCATATATAATATTTGTGTTGAGTTCGAACTGTTAGAGATTTGTTTAGTGTCGAAGGCCTATGAGGTGGTTATAATAATTACCTCATAATCATCTATGAGGTAATTATTTTCGTTTAGGCGTTTTTTTCTTTCAATTAAAATTCTTTAAGCTAAATTAAATATATAATTTTAAAATTCAAGAAACGTTGCTTATACATTATAATTTAATAAAATTAATATCCAGTGGGAACATAGGGGTACAACGCTTCTTGACGTTAGAAAGAACAAACAAGTGATAATTATTAAATTTTATTTACAATAAATTTTTAAAAAATTGTTCCTTAATTGCCTGTTTACATTTAAAAGTATAATTTTCAATTCTCATTTCAAATTGTTACATTTAATATTTTTCCCTCAAAAAGTATTATTTAATTTCGTTTAAAAATTAAATTATATAGAATTATTTAAAAAATCTAATTAAGATTTAAGTTTTTGCGTTAATGGTAATAACTAAATGTTTCTTTAAATTATTATACTATATCACACGTTTATGTATTAATATTCAAAGAAAATTAAATTAATCTTCATATGTACATAGTACATAAAATCAGAAAAATTATTTTTTAATTTTAAAAATTAAATTTCAAAAATTTTTCAAAATATATAAAATATTACGTATTTTACGTAGTTTTTAATTCTTCCTTAAATCAACCTTTGTTATTCATCCGTATTGCGTTTCCTGGGTCTTAATTAAATTTAGTAAAAATTTAAAACCGGATAATGAACAATTCAACAACTCTTCCGGTAAGTTTATTAAAAATAATAATCGCCCAAGTCCATTCCTAATGAACTCAAAAAAGGGCTGGATTAAAAAAACAATCACAATTTTTAAGATTAATCAAGACCTATCCGTTTTATATAAATTAAATTTAAGGCAATTTTCCTGGCATATCAAGATCCTGGCTTCCATCTTCCTTTATTCCTTCCAGCGCTATCATTGACCATACCGGCAACAATTGGAATTATTCTAAATTCAAGTGTTTGTTATATTACATGGAAATATTGGTATTTATTTGCGAGATTTAGGAGTTTAGACTAAAATTTCCTTTGACTCTTGTTTCCGAGATTTCCAAAATATGGGAAAAGTAAACAATTTAGTTTAACTCGTTTTATGTTGGGATGTATTTCAATTATAAATCTGCATCATTCTTGAAAACCCTTCCTTAAAAATTACAAGTAGAGCTTTCTTGAAATACACTGCTGGAAATAGGTTCAGTGATTGGAAGCTCGTACCAAAATTTGTATCCGTACCTGTGTACGATTATGAGAAAAAAATTATGCATTTATTAATACGAGTAATCTTCAAAATTCAAATCAATGGTTAGGTCATTCACCAAAATTTCAGATTTGCTCTTTCCCGTATGAGTACTTTTTTGCTCATACTTGTACTTAATACTACTTATCAGTATTTTTGGACTCATAAATCAAACTAGTACACGTACTTATAGGCCCAAAATCACGCATTTTGTTTGTTTTTATTAGCGCTGGATAGTTTTTAAATTTTGAATAAATAAATTTAGGGGCAAATATACAACATTCAAATCCAAAACGAGTATTTTATTAGCAATTAACTCATTATTGGAAATTGGTCATCAAAGTGGACATCTTGTCTTCTTTTTTATATCTTTGACTGGAATAAATTTTATACCAGTCTCTTTGGCGATTAAAATTCAGGGTCATTCTATTGTTTGTGATAATATTGTTATCATAATGTTTTTCACTATGAGCGTTGAGAGAGTTATCGCAGTTGCATTTCCAATTTTGTAAGTATTTTTAAAAGGAAATACTTATAATATACCTAATTAATTCAAGTAATAATTGTTTCAAAATATATCTTAAGGATTTAAGAGGGATGCTTAATTCGGGATGACTTTCAACACATTGAGACAAATTTGATTTATTTTTTCAAATTGATTCGTAAAATTTTCCATTAATTATATTAATAATGATTTTTTAAATATTTCTGAGTAGGAGAAATATTGGTCAAGTTAGAGGGTATTGCCTAAACATATCCGGTATTCTCTCTCCAATCAGTAATTAATTTAATAATCTCATTAGAATTTTTGCGAAGAGCCACTTTATTAGGAAAAATACGGTATACAGGATATGCCCTCTCTTGAATATATTACCCTCTGTCGAATAATGCACTCTCTCCATCCCTCTCTCCATCTAACAAAAGGTTAAAACAATAATCAAAGTAATTATTCGAGCATATACGGTATACATAAATTAATTTAAACAATTATTAAATTTTTAGTTATGCCAATATGAATTTTCGTTTCTACATATTCTTACATATATTGCCAATTTTTACTCTTTCCGCATTTATTCTTTATCAAATGCTGTCACAAATTGTAGCACATCCAGACCTTCCTGTAACCGGCAATCTTGCAGATATTTTTGGATTATCCTCAATTATTGATAGTAGATTAATTTATGGACCTCTTTTGTTAGCTTCAATTTTGCTTCATATAATTGTCGGATTTTTGGTTAAATATAAAGGAGGTTTGACTTTATTAATGATGATTAGGGAACGGATTAATATGGACTATCAATCGGAAAATATGGACATATAATATGGACTGAAGATCTCAAAATATGAACTGAAATATGAACTAAATCAAAAATATGGATCAAATATGGGCCGCAAACTGAAAATTTTTAACGGAAAATTTTCATTTATAAGCAGCAAAATGTTAATTTAGTTAATTTTGATGCATAATAATACAAATAGGTCAATTTATATTAGTTCTTTTGTTTCTGAAAATACTTTGGAAATATTTTAGTAGAAAAAAATTTCGAAAACTTTTGTCAAAAAATTTTTCAAAAAAATTTGTAAATTTTGTCCAATTTTTGGCAAAATTTTACAAAAAATGATAACTTTATACGGCCTTATCAAAATATGATAAAACTAAGTTTTTTGGACGTTTTAGAACCCAACTAGGCCAGAAAAAATATGGAAATCCATATAAATCCGTTCCTTTATATTGATTTACTATCTATAATCAGAAAATTTGAAATAAAAATCAAAGTTTGAAAAAATTTCAGAAAATTTGAATATTTTTCAATTATTCTGTGTTAATGTTTTTAAAGCTGAAGGTGTTTAGGTAAATGCTACGCTTAGGTAATTCGGCATAGGCTCTATAGTTGGCGTAAGCTCATTGCCTAAAAACCTCGATATCGAAAAGTTTCTAAATAGTAATCTAGTTTAGTTTCGATTACTTGAAAATTTGGGAGAAAAAAATGGGAATACATAACTTTTATCGGAGTTTCTGATAAAAATTTTCGGACATTAATACCCTAAAAAAGGCAATAAATTGTGGTACTATAATTATGAATTACAGCCCATTTAATATGTTTATATTTTAATTTTTAGATTTGGCAAACGAAAAGCTACGAAAATTATTTCGTTCACTTTCCTTAATAGTTTTTGTAAATATCGGAGGATATTTTATCTTAAATGCCTTAGTTTGTTTAATTATGGCATTTTTATCTATCTCTCCAGAAATGTTATGGTATTTAATTGGATATTTGGCAGTTATTCTAAACATATCTGCAGCTGTTAATGCACCAATTCTTTACTTTAATAGGTACACAATTTTGAATTTTAAACTTAGAGGGCCTCTGTATACACTATATCACCACAAATTCATGATATCCTATCCACTTACATTCAATTATTGGAAGCCAAGTCCCCTTATACTCTCCTTTGATCCTCCCACCCATATCCGTCTAAATCCAGTCTACTAAATAATCAAATATGTAAAGCATATAGCTATTAATTTCCTAATGCTACGCTTACATAAAAATCGCGCGCGACACGCGACAGAAAAGATAATGGAAAAAGAGGAGAGAAAAGTCGCCGGCGACTTTGTCGCTTTTTTTGCGTGCTTACATAAAAAGCGACTTCCGCCGGCGACTTGTCGCGCGCGACTTTGTCGCTTTTTTGAGTGCTTACATAAACCGCGACTTCCGCCGGCGACATGTCGCGCGCGATTTTGTCGCTTTTTCGTGTGCTTACATAAAATGCGATTTCCGCCGGCGACATGTCGCCGGCGACACTTTTTTTGATTCAAACATGTTTGAATTTTTGGCGACACTTTTTTGCAACATGCTATTTCTCGATCAATTCTGATCCGATTTTAGAAATTTAAAAAGATTCTGAAAGTTCAGTTTATTCTCTATCGATCAATATAAATTTTATATTTTTAAAGTTAAATCTTATGGGTCAAAATTGATTTTGAAAAAGGTATACTTTTTGCAAAAAATATTCTTTTTTTTCGATATTTTGAGATTTTCAGTATGCTATCGAGTATTTTTATCATAACTTTTTATCAATCGGTCAAAAATTCTGAATTTTTTATATGTTGTAAAGCTTTTGATTCTCTATCAAATGATACCAAAAACACGAAAAAGTGACCATTTCTTGATGAGTAGGGCTCGTCCCATATAGTTGGGGACAAAAAATTTCGTGGAAAATCCCATTAAAAAGCCCATAAAATTTCGTGTAAAATCAAAAAATTTCGTGGAAAATCCCATTAAAAAGCCCATAAAATTTGCTACAATTTAGCCTAGGCTTTTATTCTTCCAACAAAAACTCGTGAAGATAAGGATGTTAAAGCGAGGAATGCAAGATGTTAAAGCGAGGAATAACGCAATTTAAACTAAAAAGGAGTTATTTTAAGAATTTTAAAAGTTAATACTCTTTCACAACAACATTTATAAATGAATATTTAAAAGTTTACTGACAAGTTTTAGCTAGAAAAAATAATAGAGAATAATATTTACAAAGAAAAGGATTATTCATTTATTTTCAAATGAATTTCACGTGTATTTTTGTACTTTTCATATGAATTTATTTTTAAAAAATTTTGCTTTTGAAGAAATATTTTTGTAGTAATAAAATGGTAAACAGATTTTTAAAAATAGAAAAATATAAAAATATTTTTCTAGTCAAAATAATAAACATGTTTTCAAGAATTACAAAAAAATAAAATTTTGTAAATTTTTTATGAGTATTATTCGAGAATATATATTTGGAATTTTGTAATTAAATATTTTTTTATAAATTATCAATTTAAATTTCATAAATTTAATGTAGGAAATAAGCCCTTTTGTGTTCGTACTTGCAGATCTTAAGGCAACATATTATATTCGTTTTTTAACATTCTTGAAACGCAATTTGAGACAAATAATAGCACAAAAAATGCTTCAAAAATTGGCACAAAGCCAACTGTAAGAAAAAAAGCACAAATGGTGCACAATCACAATAATTGCACAAATAATACTTTTGCTGAATTTTTTCGAATTGAAATTTCGAGTATGAACACTGTCGAAGTTCATAGTCTTATTACTCTTTCATATTATATTTGCGCTTTCAACTGCAAAATGTAACTAATTCAATAGAACCTATTTTACATGATTAACAAAATTAAACTTTAAACTATTTATTAATCACTAGTCGCTGTCTTCAACAGCTGTTCGAAAGCTTATGTTTCTATTGCTGTACCTTTTTAGGTTGCCACAACGATTTGTATTAGTGATTTATGTTTTTAATTCTTCTTAAATTTTAAGAGGAAAACATGAAAATGATAAAATTAAGCTGTTCTTTATAACAAAGTGGTGATATCAAAAGAAATTTTTCTTCAAGCATTGATTTTATACCAAATTCTCTTATCTATAATATTTTTTAAAGGTTTAAAATAAAAAAATCAAAGTCTTTTTTATCATTTTATTTAAGTAATATGTATGTAAGAAAAAATCTGTCATTTTACATATTCAATTGACAATAAGAAACCCTAGCGAGTTGAAAAAGAACCTTGAGTTGAGTTGAAAAATAACCCTTGTGCAGCAAATACACACATGATTTGAAAATTCGCGAAAAACCTACTTTAAATTCAAATCATTTTATCACTTAAAAATTTATATAAAAATGACGTCTGATCAACAAAATGGAAAATCTCCATTTTTGCCAAGAACAACGATGGATAACGAGGAAAACAAAAACAACACCAACAAGTTTAGGAGAACAAACATTAATTCTCTTTGTTCCTTCAATTTCAATCGGTTCCATTATTGTGTTTTGTTATGCTGGCTGTTTGGAATTTTCTTCGCAACCCAAATGATTTTTTCCGTATTTTCAAATTATATACCAAAATGGAAATGTTTATCAAATAATACCACAAATTTTGCTAGAAATTGTACAATATATCAACAATGTCCAGAGAATTTGATACAATTTGAAGAGAACATACCTTTTCATTCAGCGGCAATGGAATTTGGTTGGATTTGTGGAGCTAATGCATATAATCGAGCTTTATTTAGGTAAGCTGTCTTTGGATTGGAAGTTAAATGAATAACTTATATTCGGAGTGAAATTACTCTCTTATCAGGAGCGGGGCGCGAATCCGTCAATTAAAACAGATGCCTTTAATTCCTAGCACCGTTTCAGGAGATTGCCGGCGTTTTTACCAAGAGTAGCAAATCACTCTTGACAATAACTCTTGGTGTAGCCGAATCAACGCATTAAGATTATGTGTAACAAATATATTATTGATAAATAGAAACTGCTTTAAGAACAAATTGGAAAGTAAGGGCCTGACAATAATTTAAATTAAAAGACTGATTCTGAATCAAATCAGACTTACTATCATTTATAAATTTTTGCCCGGGGTTCTCTTGCCTTTAGGAGGCGTTCAAATGGAATTGAAATAATTATATCCCAACTTTTTAATAAACATTCTAAATTAAAAATTTTTAAACTAAAGCCAAATTCAATTTGCCGGTGTGCTCATTGGCACTTTAACTTTTGGAGTAATATCAGATGCATTTGGTCGTAAACCAGTTTCTATTTTAGCATTAACTGTTGGAATTTCTTCAATGTTTGCTACTGGTAATAATCAATTTTAGTGGCATTTTAAAATTTTTTCATAAGCATTTGCACCCAATTGGCATTTCTTATTAGCTTGTCGTTTTATTCTTGGCCTCTGTATTGGAGGAGATTTAGTTGTTGTATATACTTTTGTGATGGAACAATTATTACCACCTCAAAGGATGGCAATTAGGGGATTTTTTAATTGGGTATTTCAATTTTTGAGGAGAGGGGGGGGGGGGGTTATAATTTAAGAAAGAGCAAAAGCTTGGAGCCAGGAGCAACTTCGTGTGGCTGCTATTGTAAGATGCTTTTGTGGGTTGAGAACATCTCGGTTTAGTGTCGAAATTATGTCCAGCTTTCGGTCATTGGTTCGGATTAGTTAAAGGATTTTGTGAGAAAAATTGTCGAGTTGGTCTGACTTTTATTTTTTTAATTGATTTTAAACCCCAAGCTAGTAAGCTTGATCCATTTCTTCCAACTCGATCCAGTTCCTCCCTTTATAAGTTAAAAATCTTGTTTTTCAAGGGAGTTGCTCGCCTAATATTTACATTGATTTGTATGTTCTTTCCTGATTGGCGCTCTTCAAGTATTGCTTGTGCTATATTTTCAATGCCTGCATTAGTTATTATAATATTTTTAATGCCCGAAAGTCCAACATGGCTTGTATTTTTAGAAATATTTTTTTAAACTTTTAAAAATATTTTAAAGCATAGTAAGGGTCGTCTTGAACAAATGCGAATAAATGAAAGAAAAATTGCTCGGTTAGCAGGTCTTCCACCGACAATTAAATTGCTTGAACATGAAAAATTATCTCCAAACGAAAATTCATTTTGGAATTTAATCAAAGATAAAACTCTTTTGAGACGTGTTTCTGTTCTTTGGGTTATGTGGCAAGTGAAAAAGATTATCTGAGTATATTCTAAAAATTTTTTTAGGTTCACAGCAGCAATTTCAGGATATTCTATAGATTTGAATAGTTCAAATATTAGTGGCGATCTTTTTCTAAATCAAGTAATGCCATTTTTTAAGAAGTTCGATTTTCTTTTGGAGTGGCTAATTTTAGATCTGAACCAAACTCGAACCGAAAATTCTCGGTTCTTCGATTCGGTTCCGGATATCAAAAATTTTTAAAGATAGTTTGTTGACCGGTAATAGTTGAACGGACGGTCCCCGATTTTTGGTTATGGACATTTTGATCAAGGGTTCGGTTAATGTGCCATAACACTTCGTTCCGGTTTAGCATGAATACGAGTCCTGGACTTAAAAATCTATTTAGCGTTTTTTAAGACTAGTTTGGGCCCTGTTATATTTCTTAAAACAATTAGTATTTTTAATGGTTCTAGGCTTATAAAAAATTTTTTATTTTAAAGAGCCTTCTTTCGTCGATATGTGCAATCTCTAAAATATGCCTTGTTATAGTTGATACTGTATTTCCAAAATTTTCTCGGCGTAATCTCCATCAAGGGGCACAACTTGTAGTAATTATATCTGCATCACTTCTAGTCTTCTTCGTTTTTTATGATTATGATGGAATTGGAATTCTTTTGGCTAATTTAATTGGAATAACTTTCATTGAATTAACTTGGTTGTTATTTATGTTTAATAACGTTCTACAACCAACTCTGGATAAGGAACCACGGCCCGAGGGTTAACAGGGAATTCTCTTTCTCTTAGGGAAGCTCGCAGGATCTTGCGAAGCTCTGAGATTTCCACTAACACATGGTCTCATAAAATCGGTCTCCTGCCCGTAAAGTCTCCCGCTCCCTTCATTATAAATTTTTAAATATTTTCAAAAAATAAATAGCAAGTAGGGTTTACGGCTCGGTGATTCGTCGGTTCGCTAGGGATATCCGAAGATTTACCCTGAACCGATAACTAATCCTAGTGATAATGTTTTATAAAACTACTTTTTTATTTTTATAGGGATGCCTGCTATCTCTGGTTCGGATTTTATAACGCACAAATTAATTAAGACAATTCTAATATTTTTAGTGCCGTAGAATCGGTGCCAACATCATTGAGGTTTTTAGTAATTTTATCCCTCAAATAATATAATCCCTTAATACATAGAGCCTTATCAGTTGGTTCATGTTCATTAATAGCTCGTATTGGTACTTTAATTGCTCCAGTGGTCTTTTAACTTTTAAAAATTTTTTTCAAATTTTATTATTTCCAGTTAGTATTTTTAAACACTCGTTGGCCTGCAAGTGTTTATTTAATTATTGTCTTAATTGGTTCAATAAATTTGTTGATTTCTTGGTTATTTTTAATCGAAACAAAGGGAATTAATTTGGATTCTGTACATTTGCATGAAGATAATAAACAATACGAATTTATAGGAAACGAAGAAATGAAAAGTCTAAAAATTGAAGAAAATAAAAAATAAATTTTGTTAGATTACTGTAAATTTTATGATTTTTTTGTAAATTTTAAGCACATTTTGGTAATATTTCGTTTTGTATGATGCATTCTTTTTTATTTTTTTATTTCCTTAGATGAAAATTAAATGATTTTCCGATATTTTTTAGGGTTGCCATAAATAGTAAATGTGCTGAGTTCGAACTGTTAGAGATTTGTATAGTGTCGAAGGCCGCATAATCATCTATAAGATGATTATTTTCGTTTAAGCGTTTATTTCTTTCATGTTAAATTTTTAAAGTAAATTCAACATATAATTTTAAAATTCAAAAAACATTGCTTATTAATTATATTTAATGAAATTAATACCAAGTTGTAACATTTGGGACGACGCTTGTTGACGTTAGAAAGCGACAAACAAGTGATAATTATTAAATTTTATTTACAATAAATTTTTAAAAAATTGTTCCTTAATTGCCTGTTTACATTTAAAAGTATAATTTTCAATTCTCATTTCAAATTGTTACATTTAATATTTTTCCCTCAAAAAGTATTATTTAATTTCGTTTAAAAATTAAATTATATAGAATTATTTAAAAAATCTAATTAAGATTTAAGTTTTTGCGTTAATGGTAATAACTAAATGTTTCTTTAAATTATTATACTATATCACACGTTTATGTATTAATATTCAAAGAAAATTAAATTAATCTTCATATGTACATAGTACATAAAATCAGAAAAATTATTTTTTAATTTTAAAAATTAAATTTCAAAAATTTTTCAAAATATATAAAATATTACGTATTTTACGTAGTTAGTAATTTTTCTTAAAATCAACCTTTGTTATTCATCAATATCACATTTCCTGGGTCTTAATTAAATTTAGTAAAAAATTAAAATCGGATAATGAACAATTCAACAACACTTCCGGTATGTTTAACAATATAATAAAAATCATAATCACCCAACGATCATACCTAATGGATTCAAAAAAGGGCTGGAATCAATTGCGGGATTTTTCATTGTGATTTACTTGCTGATCCTAATAAATTCATTTACCTTTGGAGTGCTCAAAATCCATTAATTTAAATCTCTCTTCTTATTTAACAAATTATTTATAAAATATGAGGGGAGAGAACCAGTCATCTTTTGTTCTGGACCAAAAACTGGAGCTTGAATGAATCTTTCATCGCCTTTTATAAGGAATTCAAAATAGGCAAAAAATTTAATAAACTGAAACCAACAACCCACTAAAGAATAATTCTAGAAACTTGAAAATTATTCTTTAAGTTCATTAAAATATATATTTAATAATTAAATGTTTCTTTAAAATTAAGATAAAATTATTAAAAAATATTATTAAATTAAAAATTATTAACAAATATAAGTGATTTATTTATCCAAACGTTATAATTAAAGCTCGATTAACTAAAAGTTTTGTTCAAATAATTTCTAATCCCTGATACTAAATTTTTTCAAATTATTTTGATTAAAAATTCTTGGTAACGGACATAACTATTTAATGGTGGACAATTTATTTTGTAAAATTTATCAATTTATTTTTTTCCGAAACAATTGCTCTAAAATTTTATCACATTTCTCGATACATATTAACTTTAATCAATAAAATAATTTTTAAAATAAAAATTTAAAAAAAGTTGTTAGAATATTGCCAACACTTTTTTATTACTTAAAATTTTTCCATCAAAATCAATCTCCGTACTTAGCTATAGAATTTTACCTTAAAGCATGGGTTTGTAAAGCATGGGTTTTATGTTGTTCAAATAAAAACTAGAGAAAGAAACATTTAAATTCATTGACGTTAAATAAATTTTTAAATTAATAAAAATTTATTTGAAATTTAAAATAATTAAAATTTTCTAAACTATTTTTACTAAATATAGCTGTAAATTATTTTTTAAACCCAAAATTAGAAAAGAAAAATTTTCTAAGAATGCTTTATAAGATTAGGAAACGTGTATAGTATATATAATATTTCAAGACGGCAAAATTTATTTATTTATTGTATTACTTATTTATTTATTCTAATTTGTCTAATTTGTAAAACCACATCTTTAATTGAGCCACTGACACTAATACTATAAGCATAAGAATGGAGAGGTGAAACTAAGTGGTTCTTAATTATAATTAAGGCTGGGAATTAAAGGAAATATAATGATTCCATTTAATAGCCAGTCCTAATAATAATAATACACTCATGATACCCTAACAAAACGTAAGGAAAGGCGAAAAGTTACTTACAAGAGGGCAATGCATTCATTATTCAAAAAAATGATAATTTTTAAAAATGTTCAAACCCTTGAATACTTTTAAAAATATAAATATGATCGGTATAGTTTCTGAAATTATTTTATAATAAAAATATAATTTAGAATAAAATAATTAAAAATGGCTACCTCAAAATTTTGTCTGCTTTTATTTTTTATTCCATTTGCTAATCTTATTAACTGTAAAAATGAAAAAGAAACTGGTCATGATAGCGAAGCTATTTTTAAATTGCAAGCAAGAGCCAGACTTGCAACTTGCCATCATGGAGTTGGTGTTCTATTATATATTGGAATGGGGGAAATATCAATTGCTACACCTCCTACAGGAGGGCCAACTGAATTGGAAGTTGCTAAGGTATTTGACTTTATTTTTAACTTATTATACTTCAATTATTCCAAAAAAATGAAAGCAAGGCCTTGAAAGAAAAACAAAAGAAAATGAAAACAAGGACAAAAGAAAATCAAGGCCTTAAGTCTCATAAAGCTCTATTAATTTAATAAATTTAAAGCATAGCAAAGGTTTATCTGCAGGTTAGGTATCAGCAGGGCTTCTATAGCGTTGATCAGCAGAGCTTCTACAGTGATCAGCAGATGCAGTGCTACCAATTATGTAGATATCAAACCTTTTTTTCTCTTTAAAATGGTTTAACCCTTGCCCCCCCTCTTTACAATGATAGAAATAAATTAAAAAGTATTATATTCAAAATTAGAGAAATATTTATCCATTTCAGTAGGAAATTCAAATCAAATAAATATTAATTTTAGACTCAACATTTATTACAAATAGCTACCGAGCTCGAAAAGAGTGTCAATATTCTGAAAAATTCTTATGATAAAGATACAGAACCACCCACTCAAGAGATAATTCATTGTATTCAACTTTATGTCGATGCTTATCAGGCGGTTTTGAATTTTTAATTTTTGATTAAAAAATAATTTTCTTAGGCGAAATCGAACATTAGCAGTGTTGTAGTACCCAAAGATAATGCTCAAATAACTTCATCAATTGGAGCGATGATGCGCGAGATTGCGCCATTGATGGCAACAATTAAAAAATAAAAGAAGAAAGTAAAAAAAGAAAGGACAAAATACTAATGGGAATTAATTGGGAGGAATTAATAAATTAAATTATTTATTTGGGCTAAATGTTAAAATAAAAATTGGTAAATAAATAATTTATTAAAATTATTAATTGAGATGTGGAACAAAATAAATTATCATAAAACAGTGTATGTAATACACAGAACCCTCGGGTAAGGGTTAAATAACTCAAAACTTAAATTTAATGTGTCCTATTTTTGCTTGTAGTTCGTAACAAGTACGAGGTACGAATTTTGTGCATCTCGGTATAATTTAAATTTATTTTTAATTTAAAAATAATAACACATTTGTAACAAAATTTTCGAATAAAGAAATAAATTAAAAGCTCGTTTTTAGCTTTTTCTCTTATTCTTGCGCATTTTCCCGGATTTTCATTTTAGCAAAAAATAAATAATGGATAGAATTGATTAGTCATTAATAAATTTATCTATTATTTATTTTAAAAATAATTTCTATTTCCATTACCTATCACTAAATTTTATTACTACTTCATTAATAATATTAGCAATTTGTTGAATAAATAATTAAATAAATATACATAATGTTCTTCCAAATACTAAGATGTCAAAATTATTTACAAAAATGTTTATTTTATTTATTAATTAACAATCTTTTATTTTCAAACATTTTAATTTTCGTTAATGGAACAAGAATAAATTCTACAAATTTTAACGAATTTGAGGGAGAGGTTTGAATAAGATATAAAATAATTTATATCGAAACAGAATAATGAATTCTGTTTCGATAATATGTATATATCATAATATATTTTACATAAGTAAAGCAAAGATATTGTGTTTAATTTTATAAATAGTGTTATATTTTGGAACCGTATCGAAGAGTTCCATTATCCTAGGATAGCCAAAAACTGACAACCCTATTCATGTCATAATAAATTATCA